ATTAAATTAGTAGTTTTTCAATATGAGACAGTTGAATTAAGATTGCTTAATCATTTAATGTATGTCTCATATTTTGTAATAGATTTTATTCATACAGGCAATTAATCTTTCTTGTGGCATATATTTATAACTATTATTATATTAGTACTAGAGAACCCGTGCTTCAATTTGAGTAATTCTAGCTATATCTTAGAGTTGTTTAAACACTTGTTAGAAAATAATTTTAAATATCTCTTTTTGTGTTGTAAAAGGTTTGCCTACATTATTTTTTTTTTTGCTCTCAGTTTTAACTGATAACTTCCAATGAATGCTAAACGATCTGCTTCAATTTGGGTTAACATGTTACAACAAAGTTTTTACAGCATTGAGAATTAAAGAAAACTGTTGCCTAACTGATAGCCTGTGTTGCGTAATTTAAGTTTGGGTAATTTTATTTCTTTGATTTGAGACTTCCCGCTAATACTAAGGTGGTCTGCCGTTACACTTTAGACGCATAAATGAGCGAAGCATTATTTAAAGATTGTCAATGGCTAAAGCAGCTAACACCCTACAATATGTTCCCTTTCAACAGATGCACCGTTTGTTTGCCCGATATTATTTAAGTTCTAAAGAATGACAAATTTATCTGATAGTTCATACTGTACCTTTGTAGTGAAACTGGCCATCCTGACCATTTGCTTGTACTTTGTAAATGTGCATAGCAGGATGTACTCGTGCAATCAAAATTTGTTCTACAATCGCCAGGTCAGTTAATTCGTTCGGGGCACTTGACACATCCATATTATTTAACGCCGTGAATTACGTTGCATTTGAACGACAACGGGAACAAATTGGTAATTGATTTGAAGCTGTTAGTCGTTGCTGATGACAGTTAGTCCAAAGTGTAAAATTTTAGTGCATCTAATTCATGTTGGAATTGATTAGCTATCTGCCTATCATTATCAGCTTCATCTGGTTCTTTTTGTTCACGACACCACTCTCTTACAATATTTGCATTATTGGTGCGACGACCAATATTACGTTGGGCCTTTGAGCAACAAACAAATATAGCAAAACTGTTACTTCCATTGATAAACTGTTACATTCCAACTTTAACCTAGGATGAAAGTAAACATTGAAATGTAAACAAAACAGTTACAAACAATTAATATATGTTTATCTTATTTAAATGAAATGAGATAAACCCATATGTCATAAACCCAATATAATTTTTATTTCAACTTACATTAAAATAACAAGCGAAATTGTGTGACCCGTAAAATAAAATCCAGAAGGAAATTCGCAAATATTTTTTACCAAAACATTGTACTCAGTATTGTTTAGCTGTTGGCCAAATTTCATATTAATTGGTCAAGCCATTACATTCTGATGCTCTTATAAAGAAGTTACAAAGTGAGGGAAAGTGAGCTTCGCTCAATAATGGGGGTGTGACTTTTAGTTTTCTCAAAAGTTTATGGGTGCTTTTGGCTTTATATATAGATATAGTTTGATTCAAATTTTTAAGATGGAAGAAACTGTTAGTGATATTTATTGAGAATAGCCTCTCATCCTGTTATGTGTTAAATCATAACATAACTGCTTTTTGTGGTCATTTGATAACTTCTAAATTAAGTCTTTTGACTTTAGTAAAATATAGCTGGAATAGATTGCTTCTTTCTTATTTGATTTTTATCGAGAATTACCTCACATACTGTTAGGTCTAAAATCGTAACATATCTGCTTTTTGTGATCATTTGATGAATTATAAATTGCTTCTTTCTTATATGGTTGTTTGAGATGGAAGTAAATGTTAGTGATTTCCTTGTTTGATTTTTATTGGGAATCGCTTCACACTGCTAGGTTTTTAAATAATAATAAAACAGTTTTTGTCATCTTTCGATTAGTTTAATTTACGTTTTTGACTTTGTTAAAATGTAGGTGTTTCCTTATACGATTGTTTATAATGGATATAATGTTAGTGATTTTCTTATTTGATTTTTATTATGAATTGCAATTGTATATGATTGAAAATAACTGATAGCTATTTCCTTCTTGCGACAGTAATAAAACTGTTTTTGTGATCATTCAAAGGTTTGAAATTCGACTTTGTTAAAATGTAGCTTTATTGGGAATCGCTTCACACTGCTAGGTTTTTAAATAATAAAACAGTTTTTGTGATCTTTCGATTAATTTAATATACGTTTTTGACTTTGTTAAAATGTAGGTGTTTCCTTATACGATTGTTTATAATGGAAATAATGTTAGTGATTTTCTTATTTGATTTTTATTGGGAATTGTATATGATTGAAAATAACTGATGGCTATTTCCTTCTTGCGACAGTAATAAAACTGTTTTTGTGATCATTCAAAGGTTTGAATTTCGACTTTGTTAAAATGTAGCTTTATTGGGAATTGCTTCACACTGCTAGGTTTTTAAATAATAAAACAGTTTTTGTGATCTTTCGATTAATTTAATATATGTTTTTGACTTTGTTAAAATGTAGGTGTTTCCTTATACGATTGTTTATAATGGAAATAATGTTAGTGATTTTCTTATTTGATTTTTATTGGGAATTGTATATGATTGAAAATAACTGATGGCTATTTCCTTCTTGCGACAGTAATAAAACTGTTTTTGTGATCATTCAAAGGTTTGAATTTCGACTTTGTTAAAATGTAGCTTTATTGGGAATCGCTTCACACTGCTAGGTTTTTAAATAATAAAACAGTTTTTGTGATCTTTCGATTAATTTAATATATGTTTTTGACTTTGTTAAAATGTAGGTGTTTCCTTATACGATTGTTTATAATGGAAATAATGTTAGTGATTTTCTTATTTGATTTTTATTGGGAATTGCAATTGTATATGATTGAAAATAACTGATAACTTTTTCCTTCTTGCGACAGTAATAAAACTGTTTTTGTGATCATTCAAAGGTTTGAATTTTGACTTTGTTAAAATGTAGCTTGATGAAGATGATTCTTATACGATTGTTTAAGATAGAAAATACTGTCAGTGATTTCCTTATTTGATTGTTATTGGGAATGGTTTGAAAACAATAATCAAACTATCTCATAGGTCTTTAAGCAATAACAAAACCGTTTTATGTATCTTCTGATAATTTGAAATTAAAATATAGCTTGCTTAAGATTTTTTTTTTCAAAATAAATGCATAAAATGGTTACAATACTTAATAAATTTAATGTGCATTTTCTTTTCTAGAGTTATCGTGGCCTAACTTTATACACCAAGTGTTCCTGATTTCTACTGAAATAGGTAGGTCTAATTACTCTCTGTTCCATATTGTGTTTGCGTAGCTGAAATGATGTGATATATTAGTTGAAATCTACATGTATAATTAAATATATTGCATGGGTTACATATTGGTGTCTGCTAAATGTTGTTGTATTCTCATATTGTAATTAGCTTGGTTAGTAATTTAATTGATTTAATATCTTGTTCTTGAGGCCTGAAGAAAATTGTTTCTCTGATTATATACCATTCTTAAGCGAACAACTTATACCTTTTAATGGACTTTACTTCAGTTTTAAGCATGTATATTGTTTTGGATTGATACAAATATGATTAGTAGCTGCACGTGTTAGTTACACCCCCCCCCCTTTGCTTCATTATTGCGAGACTTCCACTACACCACTTGTCCGTTGATTGGCTGAGTAGACCACGCCCCCAGTGAGCCCTCCCCACTACACCACCTGTCCTGTGATTGGCTGAGTAGACCACACCCCCATATAGCCCGGCCCCCCACCAGAGCGCATAAAACTAGTTGGAGTTCTTTCAAACTTCACTGTTCATCACGTGCTCTTGCCAGGTACACATCATGTGCACAAGCAAGCTGCACATCAAGTGATGAACGGTGAGCTAACTTATGCAATGTTGGGCCCGCATTCATATATCAGCTCATTTCTTTTTCAGGTTAATAATAACTAATCTTTTGTTGAATTGCTATGTTTACTTGTTTTTTCCTTTCAGGTTAACTAACTTGTTGTTGCATTACTATATTCACTTGTTTTGTTTTCTGGTTAACTAACTTGTTGTTTATTTTGTTTGCAGGTTGACCTCCAATGTATATGTCTAATCATTTTCAGGTTAAACTCTATCCTTCCTTAACACACATAGAGGCAAGAAAACCTTATGTGTTTCCTTAAAGTGCAAAATGGCATGAAAACCAATTGTACTTAGATCTCCATACCCTATTCAAATCTTGTCTATATGTCTAATCATTTTCAGGTTAAACTCTATCCTTCCTTAACACACATAGAGGCAAGAAAACCTGATGTTTCCTTAAAGTGCAAAATGGCATGAAAACCAATTGTACTTAGATCTCCATACCCTATTCAAATCTTGTCTATATGTCTAATCATTTTCAGGTTAAACTCTATCCTTCCTTAACACACATAGAGGCAAGAAAACCTTATGTGTTTCCTTAAAGTGCAAAATGGCATGAAAACCAATTGTACTTAGATCTCCATACCCTATTCAAATCTTGTCTATATGTCTAATCATTTTCAGGTTCTTCATGCATGTACTGTTGTAGTCTTACTTGTAGATAGTCTTGTAGATACTATGCACCAGTAGTTGTGTTTTGGTGTTGGTAGTTTGAATCTTTGCACTACTATTTTTCTTGCATGGCTTTCGGTTTTTTTTTAATAGAGGATGACCTTGACCTACTTTTATGATTGGTTAGTTGAAACTTTATCTTTGAAAATAGTTTATCATTCCATAGCCAAACTCTTCCTATTAGATATAATTATTTCCCACTCCCCACCCTTTTACAACACTCCTAACTTCCCCCACTCTGTCCTATACCTATATCCCCCACCACTTGGAGTGGGTATATATGTGAGAGCATTTTGGTTAATAACATCATTCTGTTGCCTGCCTGCAGAAGAGCCATGGACCCCTGCTTCAGAAAGACCACTAAGCCGATGAAGCCGGTGGCTGGAGTGAAAAGGTCCAAACTTCTCCAGGCATTGAATGGGGAAATAAGGAAAGAATGTACTGTCTCCAAGACGATTCAGGAGCCTGGACCTTCTTCTGCTGCTGCCAACACTTCTTCTGGACCTTCTGCTGCTGCCAACACTTCAAAGCCTCTGCCTGTCTCCAAGATTTCTCCAGAGCCTGGATCGTCAACTTCTATCGTCAAGAATATTCAAGAGCCTGGACCTTCTTCTTCTGCTGCCAACACTTTGAAACCTAGGCCTCCATCATCGCCATCGTCTTCTTCTTCTTCATCCTCGTCTTTTGACTCCTTGTCTTCATCATCCTCGTCCTCGTCTTCTACGTCATCCCCCCGAAAACAAAGAAATATGTCCCCCCTATCAATGCTACTTTCTCCCTTGATTGTCTCCTTACTATCCCCTATCAAATCTCCTGAAAAGCCATCTCCTCCCAAAGATAAGCCGTCTCCTCTCAAAAACAAGTCATCTCCTAACAAAGATAAGTCATCTCCAAAACCTCAAACACCTAACCTAACTCTTCCTAATTTAAATCCATCCTCAAACCAGATTACCAACATAGATTCTCCTGAAATAACCATTCCATTACCTCCACCCAAATCCCTCCCTGCTGCACCTGCTGTTGTAAGAAAACTATTTGCAAAACCCGAGTCCTCAAAAGAATCCCTTCCCTCACAAAAAACCCCTTCTGAAAAAATGCAAAAACTTATGGCAAAAAGACGAGCAGCATTTAAGATCAAGTCTCAATGTACTTATGTTTTCCAAAAAGGGGTGAAAAAAGGTGAGCGCTGTGAAAAATCCTGCTTTTCCGATACCAATGTGTGTAGCCTCCACACTAAGGGGAAAAGCAGGATGGTACCCGCCCAACCTAAAATTGTTAATAATAATCCTGTCACAGAAAATCCTCCATCATTTGAAAGATCAAGACCATCAATTATTGTACAAAATCAGGCTCAGGAAAAATCTTGCTTATCTGATCCGGCACCGAGCACCTCCCGTGTTGTTGTGATAAACAAGATCTTACCCAGCCAACCACGGACGTCAGGCTTTGCTCGACCCTGTCGTCCACCACAAATTATTGCCAAAAAAACCAGAATTAATAGGTTGCCCAAAAACAAAAAGTTAGAAATTCTAATGATGACACCTAGTGGTGAAGTCATTTTAAAAGAAGGAAATGACAGGTTCCGCCTTAAATTACCAAGAGGCATGACCATCCCGAATACACCACACCGATACTACTTAATTCGTGATCGGTCTTCGGGATTGGTTACAGTAACATTGTAAATTGGTTTTTAGTTTTAACGTGTTTTTATTATTTTCTTTATTTTCCTTTAGTATGCAAAAATTGGGAACGCATTTGTTGTATCATAACAAATGCGTTCCCAATTTTTGCATTCAAAGAGTGACCTTGAGCTTTTCAACCTATTTTATCGTAAAGGTTTAGGAACACATTTGTCATAACCTTATAATGTGTTCCTAAAGTTTTGTGTATAATATATTTAGACCAAGTTATATTTAACATTTTAATCGTTCATATTGTACAATAAAGATTATATTTCTTCAATGCCATGCTGTATAACTTAACAATTCAAGGTAAAATATATACATATATATACTTATTTGTAGTAACTTTCTCAGGCTAATTCCTCCATATATATATATATATTCTATTGTTTTTGAACTCTTATCTTTATACTTAAACTTTAAATTATTCCTGGACTTTCAAATTAAATCAAAATAGCATTTATTTAGCAAAACAAAATTTACTTCATATTAGTTCAATACAAAAACTGTTTACAATATATTTTATATTTTGTCATTATTTGTTTTTTCTATTTAGACAAAAATAAAATGTGCTTGAATTTTATGTTTAGTTTTTCTTATGAAAACCTTATCTATTGTTAATATTCCAAATCATTTTAGGTACTCATAATTAAGACCAATACAGTCATAGAATATTGTTAAAGCGTAATACTGTGCCCAAACAATTAGGTCAAGGTCAAACTGAAGAATTTTTAAAAAACAATAAAATAGCTACATGTTTTATGATTCACTCTCTGAACTAAATGATAATCTTCTACGAACATTACCACAAAACTGTAATATTCGACAAAGTTTGTTTTCACCATTTTCAACTTCATCTGCTTGAACTGGAATCGTTGGTGTTTCACAATAGTCCGAATGAAATTCTTTAATTGGTGTGTCTTCAGTGGGTTGAATTTGTTCATTAATAAACTCTTCGTCCACTTGTTCTTCTAGCATCTCTTGCAAGTCCTCGTCACTTTCTGTATTGTTTTCTTCCACATTCCCTGCTTCATCAAAATCAGTCGGTAAGATTCTGGGCTCTACTCCAGTAAGGTATGTGTGGTCTGTAGGAGGCATTGTGAATGTGTATGCTAAACCCCTATTTCAGGTGTTATTTATAAAATACTTAAGCCATTGGTGGGGGGTTTAACACGCCCCTTCATTGAATAAAAATGGAGTGGGGGTTATACACTGTGCTATATATATGAGTCCTGAGCCCCACCCATATCATTACTGTGAATACAACCATGCAGTGTGTAATGTAGATAGTTTTCTAAGTAGTGTCTTAAACCTGCAAAAATGTATCAATGTGAAAATTGTTGGGAGTCTTTTGAGGATGAATTGCTCTTAAATATTCATCATGAACTCTTACATAGACCTAATGAATCTTCAGCACCGATGGAATATGAAGATTTCGTTGAAGACCCCTTCTTGCAACAGAATAGATCAACAGTTATACAGTATGCACCACCAAACCAACAATTGTCAGTAGAAATATTAGCTCAAGCATTTCCTAAAGCAATAGTAAACCATTTCAAAATTTCTAATAACAATTATGAATTGTCAGATTTTATTTTAAAAGCTAAACCCCTTATCATAGAAACACTAGAAAAGGAACTAACCAGACTTAATTTTATCAAATTCGGCTTGCTCTTGGACACTAGATTTACAAATGTGCAAAATGAGGTTTCCCCGCGGGGGTTTATAACACGAAATAAATCGATCATGGTAACCAGTGATATAGAGGCTGAAGTCGACAGTTGCTTACAAGAAATTGTTGTTAAAATATCTGAACATGAAGGAAGAGGATCTGGGTGGTCTTTGCTAAGTGTAGACAGTTTAGATATACGTGTACATAAACATGGATATGGTGATAGAGGTAGTAGTTTCATTCCACTGCCTAAAAAAATTGCTGATACAAGAACTTGTATAAATGTTCAAAATGAGGACAATGAATGTTTTAAATATGCACTTTTAGCAAAGTTTGTTGAAGATAGGAATGCCTATAGACCTAGCCGGTATTATAGTGAAGTGGCTCATAAATATAATTTCTCAGGTTTGTCTTACCCAGTGTCTTTAAAAGATATCAAGAGATTTGAAAAACAGAATCTTAATTCATCAGTTAATGTCTATGGATTGGATGAGTCTAATAATGTTTTTCCCATTCAGGTTACATCTCATGAGCGTAAAGACCATACTGATCTTTTACTCCTCACAAATGGTAAAATCTCACATTATGTATACATCAAAAACTTTAATGCACTTTTATCAAGACAACTATCCAAAAGGAAGATGAGACTCACTATTTGCAAACGTTGTTTTTGCTATGTTGCCAAACCATTTCAGATGGGTGGTAAGGAATGGTTACTTGACCACCAACGTCTCTGCAATAGTAAGGATGAAGTAAGGGTTAAATTACCTCCCCCTAATAGAGCTTTTATTAAATTCAACAAAACCGCTCAACAATATCGAATACCAATTGTTATATATGCAGACTTTGAGTCATCATTAGTTCCTTTAGTTATAGATGAGTGTGATCAAAGTAAAATTAAAAAATTTCAATTTCATGAACCAAACAGCTTTTGTTTAATGCTTAAATCAACTTTGGAAGAAGATCATCTACGTCGGTATGGGTTAACAACCCAACCACTTGTATATCGAGGTGAAAATGCTGCTAAGACATTTGTAGATAACCTGTATGATATAGCTAATAAGGTAGAAAAACTGTATAGTTATGTAGTTCCGATGAACAATCTTCAACATGATGAATTGACATTCCATGAAAGTGCGGATAGATGTTACCTTTGTGACTGTAGTTTTACAGAAGACAACAGGCGTGTGCGTGATCATGATCACCTGACTGGTTTTTACAAAGGCCCTGCTTGCAACAGGTGTAACATTAATTTTAAATTACCAAAGTTTATCCCTGTAGTGTTCCACAATTTAAGTGGATATGACTCACATTTCATAATTCCTGAATTAGGTAGGGACAAAGGGGCGATTGATGTTTTAGCTACAAGCACGGAGAAATTTATAAGTTTTTCGAAAAAAGTGGGTAAAATAAAATTAAGGTTTGTTGACTCTTTTAGATTCATGGCTTCTAGTTTAGAGAAATTGACAGCTAATTTGCAAAGAGAACACTTTATTGAAACTCAAAAGATTGTTGCATCTGATAAAATGGATTTGGTTCTTCGTAAAGGAGTGTACCCTTATGATTATATTGATAATCCTGAAAGATTCAACGAGACGTCACTGCCACCCATTGAGGCATTTTACAGTCAGTTAAATGATTCTAATATTGACCCTGAAGACTATCAACATGCTTGCCAGGTATGGAACGAGTTAAAAATGAACACCTTAGGCGAGTATAGTGACTTTTATGTGAAGTTAGATGTAACACTTCTTTGCGATATAATGGAGGAATTCCGTAACACCTGTATAGCGGCCTATGGATTAGACCCACTACATTCTTACACCTCACCTGGATTAGCTTGGCAAGCTATGTTAAAAGAAACAAAATGTACATTACAGCTGTTAACAGACATTGATATGGTTCTCATGATTGAATCTAGTATCCGTGGAGGGCTTACCCAGAGTGTTACACGACATGTAAAAGCAAATAATAAACACATTCCAGGCTTCAAGAAGGAGGACCCATCAGTTTATCTAGGGTATTTTGACGCTAATAACTTATATGGGTGGGCAATGTCAAACCCACTTCCATATGGTAATTTTCAATGGATTGATCCAATATTATTAGGTGATGTGACAACTATCCCAAAAAATGGCGACACCGGATTTATAATGGAGTGTGATTTTGAATACCCATCCACACTTCATGATCATCACTATGATTTACCTCTATTAGCTAAATCCGAAATACCACCAGAGGGAAAACACCCTAAGCTGATGATGACGCTTAACGACAAGAAACGCTATGTTGCCCATTTTTGGGTTGTCCAACAAGCCATTGAACTCGGTCTAAAATTAAAAAAAGTTCACCGTGTTTTACAGTTTAATCAATCATGTTGGTTAAAAACATATATTGACTCAAACACAAAAAGAAGAGCTGCAGCATCATCAGCTTTCCAAAAGGACTTTTTTAAGCTGATGAATAATGCGATATTTGGAAAGACCTTAGAAAATAAAAGAAAACATAAAAATGTTAAGTTAGTATCGGATCCCAAAAAGGTAGAAAAACTTGTAAGGCAACCAAATTTTAAATCATCTATTATCATAAATGAAAATCTTGTTTGTGTGTCAATGGACAAAACTACTATTAAAATGGATAGACCTATGTATGTTGGTATGTGTATACTTGACATTTCAAAAACACACATGTACGACTTTCATTATAACAAGATGGTTTCATTTTACGGAAGAGACAATATTGGAATTATATATATGGATACCGACGCATTCCTTTATTGGATCAAAACTCATGATATGTATGAAGATTTACGAACATTTATGTATAAAGACGATTTCGACTTTTCTGACTACCCGAGGGATCATCATAACTATGACAATGGTAAACACAAAAAGGTGTTAGGAAAGTTCAAAGACGAAACAAATGGAATCCCTTTGGAAGAAGTAGTAGCACTGATGTCGAAGCTATACTCATTAAAATTATACACTGGAAGTACTGACAGTGATATTGGTGTAATAAAAAAGGCAAAAGGAATCAAAAGTTTATATTTGAAGAAGAAACTCAAATTTGAACATTTTAAAAAGTGTTTATTTGAAAACCAAGTTCATGTTGCAAGTTTCAAAACAATCAGAAGCTTTAACCATAGACTATATACAATTGTGCAAGAGAAGACTGCATTAACATCCAATGATAACAAAAGATATATACTCGAAAATGGTATTGATACACTTCCTTTTGGACACTATTCAATTGTAACAAATTAACCTAATACATCCAAACTTTTCCTGTCCTAGATTATCCCAATATCCTCCCCGTAAAAAGGAGGGGGGCATTATACACTGCCCCCCTCTTTTTTACACATATTTCAAATGACCTTGACCTATATAACCAATTGATAATTATCAGAGATGTCCATTATTACGACTGACCTGTACAACGGATGTTAAAATTAATTATGGTTTCTAAATGGCAAATTGTTTCTGAAATTCACAAACCTGCAAGGAAAAACTTTCCAAGGAGGAATACAATACTAAAAGGAATTAATGACTTATACCAAGCGGATCTAATTGAAATGATACCTTACAGTAAATTTAATAAGGGATTTAAATATATACTGACAGTGATAAACTGCTTCACAAAAGTTGCTGATGCCATGCCTTTGAAGGATAAAACCGGAAAAAGTGTGACCAAGGCTATGGAGACAGTTATCCGGAGGGATAATAATATTATCAAACATTTGCAAACTGACGATGGAAAAGAATATTTCAATAAGGACTTTTCAGTGCTAATGAAAAAATATAATATAAATCACTATTCAACAAAATCTGAAAAAAAGGCTGCAATTATCGAACAATTTAATAGAACAATAAAAGGAGATTTGTTTAAGGAATTTTCAAATAGAGGTTCTTATGTATGGATTAATATACTTGGAGATTTGTTGAACAACTACAACAATAGGTTTCATAGAACCATAGGTATGACCCCAAGTGAGGTAAATGAAAATAATTCAGAACAAGTCTTGAACAACATTAAAAGAAATACACGCCCAAAGGTTGAAAAGATTTTACCACATAAATTTGTTGAAGGTGATAAAGTTCGTATAAGTAAATATAAGGGGATATTTAGTAAGAAATATCTACCGAACTGGACTAACGAAGTTTTCACTGTTTATAGAGTGCAACCGACATATCCAGAAACATATATTTTGAAGGACAATAAAGGTCAAATTTTACATGGAGGTTTTTATGGTCATGAGATGTTAAAATCTTCTACAGGAGATATTTACCTTGTTGAAAAAGTTTTAAAGCGTAAAAAAGATAAGGTTTTGGTTCGCTGGCTAGGTTTTGATAAAAGTGAAGACACTTGGGTGTCTAAAGAAAATATTATATAGAATACGTCATTTATGAAACAACTATCACAGAGTGAT